TAATTTCATTTATTATAAGATCAGTTCCAGTGGAAACTCAAAAATAAAGGAACATAACCTGGAAAGGCAAAAAATATCCTCTCACGAGGTACAATAATCAGATGTGTTCAATACAGTAGTATTTAAATACAAAAAAAGGAAATTAGAAGAAGATAGAGAAATGCAAAGAATACAAAGAAAAACACTCAAAGAAGACAATATCATCTGTAGTAATAGGTACCAATTACTACAAGCAGAGGATAATCTAGATGAAGCAGAAATGAACAATGAAGACGAAGACGCAGCAGAGGAAACAACCACAAGCAACCGGAAAAATAAGAGACCACCACCACTAGTTCTTCATGGAAAAGTAGAAACTCACGTGTCATTCATGAAAGCACATAAAGACCTGTTAAAGGAAAACTACTACGTCAAATATCATAAAGATTTCACAGAAGTCTTTACCTCAACTCGACAACAATACCTTTCACTCAAAGATATTTGGCAACCAAAAAATATAAGCTTCCATACGTACACTGACAAGACAGAAAAAAGGAAAACATTCGTAATCAAAGGACTTCACGAGCAAACAGATTGCAATGACATAAAAACTGAATTAAAGGAATTAGGTTTTAATGTTGTTAACGTAAATAGCATGAAAAACACCACATCACCAAAATATATGGTAACCTTGACAGGCAATATACAAATAAATAAATTGAAGCAAACAGCAAGACGCATAACTAGAACAAAAATTATGTGGGAAAACTATATAAATAAGAGACGCTTAACACAATGCTACAGATGTCAAGCATGGGGACACGCCACTGCAAATTGTTATGCCAAACCTGCATGCTTGAAATGTGCAGAGCAACATCTAACCAAAGATTGTAAGAAGACCAAGGAAACTCCAGCCAAATGCATAAACTGTGGTAGCGATCACCCAGCTAATGCAACTATATGTAAAGAGTACCTGAAAAGACTAAGAGCAATAGAAACAAAAAGTAATTATACAAGAAGCAACGTCAATCAAGACAAAATATCTAGGAGCCTACCAGTACCTGATACTAATAGTCAAGAACACTACCCTACCCTAAGACAAACATATCCACAAACAACGCAGAGCAACACGCAGACCAAAAACAACAATGGAACAGTACCACACACAACACACACAGCATATAATAGGAGATATATGGATGGAAACACATATCTTGCTAGAGCTTCTAACAGCATCATTCAGGAAAGGCATCAATCTACAACAAATGATAGTGAGAAAAACCCAACTAAACAAACACAAGTGCAAGACTTCATGTCTCTTACAAGGGAAATACAGGAACTCGGTAAAGTTTTTAATATCAAGAAAATGCTAGCTGCAATAAGAAATTTCAGGAACAATATAGTAAACTGTAGAACTCCCGGACAACAATTTCAATTATTATTAGAATTCTGTGATGTTCTTGATAATGAATAGTTTAAAAATTTGTAGTTGGAACTCAAATGGACTTAGACATAGAATAGGTGAAGTAATAGAGTTTTTACATAGGAATAAGATAGACATATTGTTAATAAACAAAACGAGACTAAATGATCAAATAAATATAAAAGTTAAAGATTATAAGTGCCTAAGAAGAGATAAAACAAGTACCGCTGGAGGTATAGCTATCCTAATTAAAAACAATATACCTCATAAAGAAATTTTATTAGATAGAACTGTTCGAATAGAATGCTTAGGTATTAGGTTAGCAAGCAATGTACATATAGTAGCTGTATATAGTAGTCCTAGGATAATATACAATTTCAAAGAGCTAGACACATTATTAAATATAGGCGATAAGGTTATGTTGGTTGGAGACCTGAATGCTCGGCATGGGACTTGGAACTGTCATGTAAGCAACCTGAGAGGTGTAATCTTGTACAATTATTCACTCAACAATAACTGTAGTATCATGTTTCCAGACGAACCTATTCACTACCCAGAAAATGGAACAACACCAACTACAATAGACTTAGCTTTAAACAAAAATGTAGCAAACGTATCTCAAATACACACACTAAACGAATTGTCATCAGATCATAATCCAATAACATTTACCATGGGTGCACAGATCAAAACTACAAATAATAAATTAGCATTTGACTATGACAGAGCAGATTGGATTAAATTCAGGCAAATAATTAACAAAAACATCAAACTAACACCAAACATCACAACAACAGAGGAAATAGAACAAGAGGTGCAACGATACACAAACATAATAAAAAATACTATAAAACAAACAATTCCCATAAAAACAATACAACAAATAAGAGATGCCCTCCCAAAACACATAGTGGACCTAATAAAAGAGAAAAATAAGCTACGGAAACTATGGCAACAAACAAGATACCCCCTGTACAAAAGACTATTAAAAAACAAAATGAACAACATCAAAATGTTAATAACAAAGCATAGGAATGAAACATGGACCAAACATTTAGAAAGACTGAATACAAATGATAACTCCTTGTGGAAAATGACAAAAATTTTCAAAAATCAACCTCAAATAATCCCTACACTTGTAAAAAATGATACTGAAGCTATCACCGACAAGGAGAAAGCTGACATGCTTGCATCCCAGTTCGAACGGGTACATAACATAGATTTAACAAACAACACCATTGAACAAACTGAAATTATCTCTCAAGTACAACAATACATTCAAAATTCACAAAATGATAGCTGGTACAAATTTACCACAACTACTGCTGAACTGAGAGATATTATAACAAAACTGCCATCAAGGAAAGCCCCTGGGACAGACAATATCCAAAACATAATATTTAAAAATATAGGCCGCAAATCAATAGTGCAACTTATGTATATCATCAATGCATCTGTTAAACTGTCATATTATCCAAGACAATGGAAGACAGGGAAAATAATCCCAATACTGAAACCAGGTAAAAACAAAACTGAGCCGAGCAGCTATAGACCCATCAGCTTACTACCAACCATGAGTAAAATAGCAGAAAGAGTAATTCTAAAACGAATAAGCAAATTTGAACAGAAAGAAGACATAATAAACAAATACCAATCTGGATTCAGGAAAAACCATAGCACAGTCCAACAAATAGTACGTATCGTAAATGACATAAGTGTAAACTTCAATAAAAATAATGTAACAGTGATGCTATTACTCGACATAGAAAAAGCATTTGACCGAGTCTGGATAGATGGACTTATATATAAGATGATCGAAAACGCATACCCAACCCCATTGATCAAACTAATACACTCGTACCTAATTAATAGACACCTACATGTTGATATAAACAAAACCATCTCATCAAAAATAAAAATAAAAGCAGGGGTACCACAAGGCTCAGTCCTAGGGCCTAACTTATTCAACATCTACATAAATGATATTCCAGACTTTCCCAAAATAAAAATAGCTCTGTTTGCAGATGATACAGCCATATATGTACACTCATTTAATGCAATAGTCGCTGCTAAACAAACACAAATACATCTAAACCTTCTAGAAAATTACTATAATCATTGGAAAATAACATTAAATGCCAATAAAACAGAGGCAATAGTATTTACCAAAAAACATAAAAGAAATAGTATAATATACCAGCCTATAAAAGTTCAGAAGCATCCAATACAATCAATAAGCGTAGTTAAATACCTAGGAGTCCACCTAGATTCTAAATTAACATTCAATCATCATATAAAACAAGCCATACGCAAAGTATACTCAGTACAAAAGAAACTCTACCCATTCACACGTCTGGTGTAGTGCGGCTCCAACCAACATAAAGATACTACAGGTATATCAAAACAAATGCCTTCGACTAATACTATCGGAGGGTAGATATGCTCGAATTCAAGATCTCCACGATAAGACTGAAATCCCGACGATATTAGATTATATTAAAATGTTGTCAGAAAATTTTTATAAAACCAAACTAGGAAGCAACGTACTTACTAAAGACATAACTAAAATTAGGAAACACAATCTCCCCTTAAAATTAAAACACAGACTACCTTACCAAGCACTATCAATATTTAATCAATGACCTTACTGCAAACTAAGCGCAGGTCAAAATCGCGAGAAAGAAAAATCGCACACACAATTCTTAAAAGTAGGCTTTTTTAATATATCTTTTCCTACTACCATAACTATGAATGTAGTGGTAACACAAAGGCGTAGACTGTAATTTAAACTACCTACCGCAAACGTATACAAGCTATTTCTTGTAAACACAAAACAGATCACTAGGTTAAACTTATAATTTAAGTAGGAACTAGGCTAAGTAGTCATAAGTATACAGTGCCTTATATCTGTAGTTATATTTTACTACACGTGTAAATGTACTTATTGTTGACAAACGAATAAAATGTTTTATACAAAAAAGAAAAGGTCCCCGTTCGATCACCGAAGTCAAGATGCACTAGATGGCGTTCCGTAAGAAGATGGCTGGCCGCTCCACATCCATCTCTGGAAAAGCCGTGCTGCTGGTTTTATCGTGCTGAAATTTCACACAGTCGTCAGTTCCATCCTTACTAACGTCTAGAAATTATAAAAAGTCCAACAGCAAAAATCCTTACCGCCAAGTTGGGGTTCAAGCATGGTCGGGCGTCCTCACTCATTCTCCGGCTTGTTCTTCGGTTGGTGGTTTCGATGGAAAGTAGAAACCTGGTCTGATAGGGGTATAAGCTAATAAGCTGAGGCACCCTGAGTCCTTCTAAGGACGACCCACACTAGTTGTCCATATCTACTTTCTAGCGAAACCACTGCCAAGGGAACGGGCTCGGAAAAATTAGCGGGGAAAGTAGACCCTGTTGAGCTTGACTCTAGTCTGGCACTGTAAGGAGACATGAGAGGTGTAGCATAAGTCGGAGTGGTGTTTTTTCGGCATGTCGCCAGTGAAATACCACTACTTTCATTGTTTCTTTACTTACTTGGTTGGGCGGAGCGCGTGCGCCGAGGTTCCGACCCGGTCGTCACGGTGTTCTTGCGCCAAGCGTGTAAGAGTGGTGTGAGGTCTCAGCTACCGATCACCAATAATACTTCCGCGTGATCCGTTTCGAGGACACTGCCAGGTGGGGAGTTTGACTGGGGCGGTACATCTGTCAAAGAATAACGCAGGTGTCCTAAGGCCAGCTCAGCGAGGACAGAAACCTCGCGTAGAGCAAAAGGGCAAAAGCTGGCTTGATCTCGATGTTCAGTACGCATAGAGACTGCGAAAGCACGGCCTATCGATCCTTTTGGCTTGAAGAGTTTTCAGCAAGAGGTATCAGAAAAGTTACCACAGGAATAACTGGCTTGTGGCGGCCAAGCGTTCATAGCGACGTCGCTTTTTGATCCTTCGATGTCGGCTCTTCCCATCATTACGAAGCAGAATTCGCCAAGTGTTGGATTGTTCACCCACCAATAAGGAACGTGAGCTGGATTTAGACCGTCGCGAGATAGGTTAGTTTTACCCTAGTGATGGCTAGTTGCGATAGTAATCCTGCTCAGTACGAGAGGAACCGCAGGTTCGGACATTTGGTTCACGCACTCGGTCGAGCGGCCGGTGGTGCGAAGCTACCATCCGTTGGATTATGCCTGAACGCCTCTAAGGCCGTATCCATTCTAGTCAAATACGGCAACGATAGATCTAGGAGTCTCGTAAGAGTCGAAAGGCTCGAACAATGTGAATCCACTAGGTGGCCGGCCCTTCGTGACCGGTCATCGCACTAGAGCCCCTGTTTGCCGTACGGGCGTCTTTGGATTTCGTCCTCGGGATCTTCCCGATCGGACGGACCACGGCGCTCTAACGGTCGATCATGGGTACTCCAAAGTTCGACGTCGAGACTTAGAATCGTTCGTAAACGACTTAGGTACCTGGCGGGGTGTTGTGCACGGTAGAGCAGTTACCACGCTGCGATCTGTTAAGACTCAGCCCTATGCTTGGGGATTCGTCTTGTCGGTTAGACGAGACCCCACGAAAAAGCATGAGGGTTGAAGCTCTTACATTTTTTTTTTTTTCGCAATTTTTTTTCTTTTTCACAAAGCAATACGCCGCTGGCACTTAGAAAGAAAATAGAAAAAAAATTGCACGTTCTTTTGGCCGGCTGTTAGTGAGAAAGAAGGAAAAGCCAATAATAAGCCAATGACGATGATGATATGTTGCTCGGAGGAAAGGAGGGGCATCCCGGGATGAGCGAAAGCAATACGCCGCTGGGACTTTGTTGATTCTCGGTGTTGCCGCGGGCGAATGGAAGAAAGAGGAGCAACCGGCGCTGAGCGAAAGTAATACGCCGCTGGGACTTGGAAGAAAGAAACCTTTTTTTTACATCTTCTCAAATATAATCCTAACCTAACTCATTATTTAAATCTTTTATTTCCATTTCTTTTTCTCTTCCTTTTTTTCAAATATAAACCTAACCTGACACATCTTTTATCTTTTTTTTTCTTTATTTTTTTCCAAATATAAACCTAACCTAACCTAACCTGAACTTTTATCTTTTCTTTTCACACATAAACCTAACCTAATCTCAGCTTTTAAAAAAAATAACCCTAACCTGAGCTTCTTTTTCAAATATAAACCAGACCTAACCAGACTCGCATAGCGAGATTCCCTCAGGGAGAGTGGCAGAAAACTCTACTTTCGCTAATATATCTATAGATACATATACATGCACATGCATATATAAATAAATATAACGTACATATATACAGGGTGTCACGTAACTCCTCGAACATCCGGAAATGGGGGATAGCTGGGGTGACTCTGAACAACTTTTTCCTTTCCCAAAATCCAGTTTGAAGCTTCGTTTTCGAGTTATTAACGAAAAACACTGGCCAATTACAGCGAATAATACTAACGAATAAAAGTACCGAACACAGTTATGAAACGACTTACTTGTTATTCATGAAAAAGAAAAAAAATACGTTTTGGAAATCGATGTCAATTATAAAATTTCATCGAAATCTGTTGATGGAGAAACAAGCAACAGGCATCGAAAGATGTAAGAATCTGCAGATTTATTACAGTTTTACGCCGAAAGTCGTGATAGTGCGATTTTCATCATCTTTAACCGTTTGTAGCTCATAGAAACATTAACCAATTTCGATGAAATTATCAGCACGTGTATCATTGACATAGATCTACAAAACGTATTTTTTAGATTTTCATTTCGAGCTCAGATAAAAAAGTTGTAAAACTGACCTTCGCTATTTTCTTCGCGATACAGACTAATTGCAGTTTTTTTACAAATTTATACAAACGTCGGAATGACGGCCAAAAACCATTTCTCTAAGCCTTATAAAAACAGCAGTGCAAAGTGAAAGTTTTTTGACAGCTATCGAGAACCGAGAAGTCACGCGTACGCATTTGTTCGCTCGCGCGGGTGCATCTCTGTTCGGCCGTCCCTGAGCGCGGGCTCTACGCGCGCTGTAATTGGCCAGTGTTTTTCGTTAATAATTCAAAAACGAAGCTTCAAACTGGATTTTGGAAAAGGAAAAGGTTGTTCAGAGTCACCTCAGCTACCCCCCATTTCCGGGTGTTCGAGGAGTTACGGGACACCCTGTATAATCAATAATTTAGAAGATAATCAAATAGAATCGATTTTCAGCATTTCATTAATTATTTTAACGTTTAAGGGTCCGGGAGCACGTTTTCCCGTCATCCGATCGAACTTAACTTTTGCACAGATTATCTTTTTATTAATTGGAACTACTCTGGGAGGTGCCGCGAAAAAAATTTTCATCAAGAGTAAATAAGAGTCATGTTACCTACTATCCTGCTCTGAGAAGACGACGAGCAGGACGACACAGAGGCAAGGGAAGTAAGCCGCCTTCCCTACCTTTGAAGCTCATCGTCGCGCGATGGATTAGTAGATGTGACCGTTTCGGCCAATAGTAAAACTGCGTGTGATCTGATTTCACGAGTGTATCCGTTACAAACAATGAGATCCACATTCCTTCCACTCGTCACCTTCTCAGCGTAGATCAGTACACACGCACGTGCATAAATAGAGGGACGTGGATTTCCGTCTACGCGGACAGTCGGCGTCCTTAACCCCCGCGTTGTTTGAGGGAACACTATACCTAGTCTCTCTAACACTCGCCAGGTTTCCAAACGCCTCAAAAAGTTTCTCGTTCGCTCATTATCCGATTACACAATCGCTTGAAGTTGAGATGGGTGAGGAACGTCGTTACACTGTTTTCACCTCAATTTATTAAAGTATAAGTGTATGGTCGGCGTACAATTGGTCCAGAAAATACAATCGTTTACTTTGTTAATTGTCCCGGTGGTAGCGGTTCGGAGGGTACGTCGCGATGGTCGGGTAAAGGAACAAACTGTCCGGAGGTGTAGGCATTCGTGTACCCCACGCGAATGTGTCTGATCTAACTCGAGTTGGCGGTCTAACGATAACAGAGAGAATGTTGGGTGCGAAAGCTAACGGGCATGTATATAAGTGTGCAACGTCGTTTCGAAGGCCGCGAGGTCGAACGAGGATCCGCCTCATCCTCCAGCCCTTCGTGCGATGATCGTATCGCAATATCTATCGAACGCCGTCGGCCGACGATCGTCATTCGAAACTCTTCGAATGTGGTATCCTCTCGCGCCGACAATCGAACGCATTACAGACATTGCTTACGAGAAAGCTAACGGCATACGCGACTACTACTTCGTACAGAGAAGGCCGCGAGGTCGAACGAGGATTCGTCCTCATCCTCCAGCCCTTCGTACAAGTATAGCAACGCGTTGTCGGGACGCTGTGTGTGGCACATAATGACAAGCGCTTGTAAGAGCAGCACTCCATGTCACAGAGATACGAAGAGGGAAGGCATCTCTCTCTAGACAACGGGAAGAGGTACGAGGGAAAGAAACAACCAATGAAAAATGCTTGCACTCAACGAAAATGCATCCGCACTAACGAAAATGCTCCCACTCTCAAAAATGCTTGCTCCCAAACGTTACGTGCAAAATGGATGAGGGAAAGACAAAACCACTCTTACAAGAGGGAAAGTAAAAACGTACCCCGTGTCGGAGAGACGACGTGTACCCTCTTCTATTGCTGATGATCTGTGATGTGTTTGCTCACATATTGCGTTTCTTAGAGGACGCCGAAACGAATTTTAGGGGTTCGAACGAAACTATTCATGTTTCATACCTCGAATCGTTTTCGCGCTGCTCCTGAAACGCTAGTCCGATTTGGACTACTCTACATACGGGTAACCATGAAATTGAAACGCACTGCGAAAACAACACTACGTCCATTAATCATACGAAAATTAAAGGCATATATGCGAATTCGTCTCGAAGGCCGCGAGGTCGAACGAGGATTTGTCCTCATCCTCCAGTCCTTCGTGCAAGTATAGCAACGCGTCGTCGAGACTCGCGTTTCAGCGCCTGTGATCGTATCCCAATCTCTATCCGAGGATGCCGACCGACGATCTACATTCGTACTGCACGAATGTGTCCAATCTAACTCGAGTTGGCGGTCTAACGATAACAGAGAGAGTATATTGGGTGCGAAAGCTAACGCGCATACTTATACGTATGATAATCGTCGTTTCGAAGGCCGTGAGGTCGAACGAGAGGATACGTCCTCGTCCTCCAGCCCTTCGTGCGACGAGCAACGTGCCGTCGAGACGCGCGTTTGCCAAAATGTGATCGTACAGCAATATCTATCGAACGCCGTCGGCCGACGATCGTCATTCGTAACTCTTCGAATGTGGTATCCTCTCGCGCCGACAATCGAACGCATTACAGACATTGCTTACGAAAGCTAACGGCATACGCGACTACTTCGTACAGAGAAGGCCGCGAGGTCGAACGAGGATTTGTCCTCATCCTCCAGTCCTTCGTGCAAGTATAGCAACGCGTCGTCGAGACTCGCGTTTCAGCGCCTGTGATCGTATCCCAATCTCTATCCGAGGATGCCGACCGACGATCTACATTCGTACTGCACGAATGTGTCCAATCTAACTCGAGTTGGCGGTCTAACGATAACAGAGAGAGTATATTGGGTGCGAAAGCTAAAAGGCATACGTATGACGTATGATGAACATCGTTTCGAAGGCCGTGAGGTCGAACGAGGACGCGTCCTCATCCTCCGGTGCTTCGTACGGGAAAGAAATACGCCTCATTTTTTTTTAAGCCGAAAACACCATCGCATCCCACTCTCTTTCCGAGGATGCCGACCGACGATCTTCATTCGTACTGCACGAATGTGTCCGATCTAACTCGAGTTGGCGGTCCAACGATAACAGAGAGTATCTGGGGTGCGAAAGCTAAAGGGCATATATATATATATACGTATGCTGAACGTCGTTTCGAAGGCCGGGAGGTCGAACGAGAGGGTACGCCCTCGTCCTCCAGCCCTTCGTGCGACGAGCAACGTGCCGTCGAGACGCGCGTTTGCCAAAATGTGATCGTACAGCAATATCTATCGAACGCCGTCGGCCGACGATCGTCATTCGTAACTCTTCGAATGTGGTATCCTCTCGCGCCGACAATCGAACGCATTACAGACATTGCTTACGAAAGCTAACGGCATACGCGACTACTTCGTACAGAGAAGGCCGCGAGGTCGAACGAGGATTTGTCCTCATCCTCCAGTCCTTCGTGCAAGTATAG